TCTTTATCTCGACTGCTGCCTAGCTGGTTCACTTAATTAATGTTCTGTGTTCCCTAGTTTTACTGATGCTAAGATGTGAATTAATGTAGCGCACCTAAGCGTGCAATAAATAAATAAATAAATAAATAAATAAATAAATAAATGTGGCGCTGTTTCAGAAATGCCCTACGGCAGATGGTTCCGTACCGATTATGGAAGCGAGCACACAACATTGAACAGAGAGCGCTGAGCCAATTCAAGAACTGCTACTTCTCGCCGATTCAATGCGTTCTCATGGAACGTCGACGACGATAGGATGGATCGGTCGTCGTCACCAGGACTCACCTCAAATCGGACACCATCGTCACCCTTCTCTCTCTCTTATAGATGAATGATAAAGTGATCTTTGTTGTGCGTACACTTACACTTGAACCGTCTTTGTGTAGCAATAAAATGAAGCCGTGAGCTTTTCGCTGCTAAACTCGTCCGATAGAGGGCGATTTGACGTCAGAACTCGTTCACAGATCGCGCTTTGATGCCGAAGTCAACGTCTCAATTATTAACGCTCATTGTGAGAGCGTTTGGTCCAAATTCCCATGACTTTGATTCTTTTTATAGAAGATTACGCTGGAATTACATATCAGCTACCGTACTTCCACTGAATGATGGTGTCAAAGGGTGCTATTGATGACTTAATTAATGCGGTAACCATGTCGGCATGGTAACCCGTAGGCAAACTGCGAGTTGCAACTAACTGATCACTTTAGTTCAAAAAGTTCTGAAAGTGGGTAACATAAAAAGGTAAAGGGCTCCATCGATAAAACACCTCTGGGTAAGCCATGCGATCGACCTTCAAAGGATTTGTGGGGGTGTCTGTGCAAGCACTTTATCCTAAAACAGCTTATAGAAGAGGGCCAGTGCATCTGTCTTCGTTCGTTATCTATATTGTTCTTCAACAGTGTTCTCATTTCGATCGGCTGATAATGTAAGACCCCTTTCATACTTTGCGCCTGTGCGGTCTGCGAAGAGCGTCAATACACGCACAGGCGCATGACGCATAATTGGCGCACGGGCTGTGCCTTCCGATCGATCGATACCACTTTCAATACATTTTGTATATTTTTTGATGCTCAATCTGCCGGTTTGGCTGCGGTCATGGTTTTTCAGGCGCAAAACTAATTAATACGCGAAAAATTGCGCACTAATGAACTCAGTTGGGGGATTAATGCCAATTTCACACTCAACTCTACGATGCTAAGCGTTCAGGGACTACTGAAAAATAATGATTCATACAAAAAATAATGTATTAAAATTAAAAATGATCGATCACTCACTGCGCGCCAAGGTGCAAAACCAAGGTAAAATCGTGTCGAGAAGAAGGGCGCGTCTCTACGACCCCCCCCCCCTTAATAGAGGTCACGACTCCCTCAGAAAATCTAGCTTTAGATGCACGACCAGCACGCGGCCACTGAAACGCGCATGCTGTCGCGGACAAATCGCCACACAAATTTTGCTGTGTGGCGTCCGTCTTTTATTCCTGTCATTACTTACTTAGCTTATGCAACATTTGCCAGGAAGTAGAAAAAGGAAGGAGGTAGTCAAACGGTTACAAGGCTCCTGTCAACCAAAGGGTGAGGGAAAGCACACACTTTGTGTCTTATTGGGACTAAGCCTTTTGAAGAAGATAAAGAAAGAGGAGATGCTGTGATAGTGTGCACTTGTGAGAGCTCCCAGACATCACTACAAAATGCTGAACCGCCAAGGCTACGATTGACAGGTGTCCTGAGATCTAGTCAATACAGGAGCCTGAGTAGTCTCGCGTTTCCAGTACTAGCGGCACTAACGTCCGCGGTAGCGTTTAAGTTTGGAGTGGCACCAGTTGGTATAATCCAAATCTACCCGCTATATGACGGATTATAACTTTCTTTATTATCACTCAGAAAGGAAGGCAATTTTTGAAATAGCAGCGAGACCTCAATTTATAAAATAACAATAGCCGACTGTTTTGGTTTCAGTTTTACCTCGCGGGGAGGAGATGTCTGTCGAAGTACGTTGAAATTTACATACGAGTTCCCCTCTTTGGAAGTCAATAACTCTCTTCACTCAGAGTCTTTCGGAATTCTACGAAAACCATTGTGAAGAAGCCCTGTCTGACAAATGCTGCAGTTGTTTTGAACGTTCCGCTGGTGTCGCGAAAATCCGCACCGAGTACCCTATTAAGAAGGCATCGAGCGCCATCGATTACTCTAAGTCCCCAGATGGAACTTTCTTCAAAATCTCAATTGCTTCTTAAGCACCTATCATTATTTATGGATTAAATTGGAAATGGACATCTTGACGCGACTCCTTTTCGTACTGTATGCGCATGCACTACTCGCACACGAGTCAGCTGTAAAGGGCCTTTGCCTAACACGACGAGGTGCTTATGCAGCCAAAACGCTGTTTTTCTAGTCCTGAATGATTAGAAATCACTCTCAGCAGCTCCAAAGGCCGTAGTACTGCTCTGACCATTTCCTTCAATTACGTGTTCCGCTTTTCCAACCCTGTTCCCGATGGCTGCATTGCCAAGCTGCGGCCTGTGATGAATTTGCGCCAAGCTCTTTCCGTGTTTGGGCTGGTCTATTGAATCCTTGCGCCTACAGAGGTACCTTAAAGATCAAAGAAGGAATGACTCCGATTGTATGCCGTCCAAGATTAGTTAACTTATTGGCCTAAAGTTTCGGCAGTCGCCTTCGTAAGAGCCTGAAAATGCACACTCATTCTGTATCAACACTACGAGATCAAAAAGAGGTCGATAATTGAACGGTTGTTGAAGGGTACAATTAATTTAGAGTGGGATCATTCTACCATTTACATAACAAGGGATTTTTTGCAAGGGCGCTCCATCCTTTTTTTCTATCATACTGGACACTGTCTAGCAAGGCAGGCATCTTGGCCATTCGCGAGCCAACCTGTTGTCCTTGCGCTTAGAACTCCCCCCCCCAACCTCACTTTGACCAGACGGCGAATCCTTCCTGTTTCGAGATTTCCTTCATAAGCTTGTTCATCCGGGTGCGGTGGCGAAGTATGAACGGGTTCAAGATTTTTGAAGGGATACAGGACTTGCAAAAAAAGCACACAGTCAGATTTTGTCAAACCTTTTGTCGCTTTTACCATCCCAGACTTTTCAAATTCTGAAAAATTGTGAGTGTCGTGTTTTCCGGAGAGGGTTGGCCAGGAACAGTTTGATATCGCTCATTACAGCACCTGAAAAATGCCCTAAGGCTATCGCTCGTTTTGCACACTGTTTATCAGCTCTTCGAGAGCTCGATGCCAAGCCGAGCTTGCTTCGATATGAAGCTCAAGCAATCGGCTTCGAATACAGAAGCTGAAAATCTTTTTGCCGTGAGCTGTTGGTCTAACACTGCAGCAGCCGGGTGATCCTAATAAGAGCTAGGTAGCCACCTCGTCAACCCATAATCCATAACTTGTGCCTAAATTTTAAATTATTTACGTTCAAAACTGAGAGCGAACTTAGCTATCAGCCTTTTTATAAGCCTTAAGGAATGCTTGAAGGTTCGTATAGGATTAACAAGGTGAATTTGGCAGCAGTGACAAATTTCGTCGCTTTGATGCATACGACGCGAAGTGAGCCTCAGATCGAATCTCACTTAGGTCAAGCAAGCGTTCTAGCCCAACAGGCTCGGTTGTTTGGAACCATATCCTCCAGGAAGATAACGCATGATGTGTACCCCGGCCTCCACAGTTCATTGATAAAATAGCATTCAAATAAAACTGCGATTGGGCAAGGTGTTATGTGCGTGGCGTGGCATGTGCACTGGCCGACCGCGCCAAGATTGAGCCCTAATAGGTCGCCGAGGTCAACTTTTTCGGTGCCAATTGCGCTTCAGTCCGCACCCTTAGGAGGTCCGCGGGTCCCTCAACTAGGAATTACTCCTTCTTCGACCTTCATTCTAATCGTGAAATCCTCCTTTAATCAGAATCAAAATCAATTCTCGTTCAAAATCAAACCACGACAAGAATGGTGGACTAAGGGCAGTGACGTCATCAATTAGCACCGCCTGTCAGCAATCGTGACCAGTGCCTTTAAGGGCAAAGCTGAAGCAGCACAAAACAAAAAACAAATGGAACCGAAGTGTTTGAAATTGCACTCGGAGCCGAAACTGGAGTCACATAATTAACAAATGTGTCGTTCTCTTCTTCAAAATGAAATAGCCATTAAACCACAGCACAAATGCAATTGTTTATTTTGAGTTAAAAAACGTTGTGGCAAAGTTTTTGGCCGTTAGCCAAGCCGTCGGGCAGCCCTCTTTGGTTGAGAATTCTCTGAATTTCATCCATATTAGCTCGAATATCGGAAATGACGACGAAGTCGTAGTCTTCGCATCTCATCTGGAACGAAGGCACTCCGTCGAGGTTTTCGGGATTGTCTTAGGGTTGAGCTAAACTTCTGGCTCACCTCATCATTGGCTGAGCGCTGGATGTCCCTGTAGGTGCCAACGTCCGTCAACACACCGATCTGAAAGTGGAAACCTCACCAAAAAAAACGCGATCGACGTATTTTCGACCCGGTGAAATTCATTCACCTATAGCGCTCCCTTCGGCGCTAAACCGATAGAAATGCGCGTCATTGACGACCTCAGAAAACAGTTTGGCTCGCAGTAACTAGCCCTCCCTGGGTAACTGATGTGAGTGAGTTTATTTCTTTCGTACGGGACATTCAGCCGTTATTCCCAAGAAGCGCTGAAAGAAAGAGGCGTTCGGCGGTTCAGAAAGCATTTCTCAGAATTGAGGCATGTTTACGCTTTTGGGGGAGTGGGCCTGGAAAGGGTAGGCTGTAAATAAGGCTTCCATCTGAAAATCTCTTCGTGAAAAGGAACATTACAATAAGCTTTCCCTTCCCTTCAGAAATGCTTTTTACACCCGTTCCCCTCATTGAGCGTGCTGCTAGTGACACTTTCGCGTTGACCGCACACAAGACCTAATGGCACACACTCCATGATTGATAGTCTGCGGTCTATCCACCTGGGTATAAGCGACATTTGAATGATGGCAGAAGACTCACCAAGAACTTGATTCCACGAATATAACAGTACACTGGGCTACCAGAATCACCCTGAAATAGCAAAGTAAAAAATAGGAGTAGGATTGAACAAAGGCAAGATGGTTGCATCCAAGCAGCAGAAAATCGGGGAAAACCATGGTGTACTGTCACTCTCACCCACGCATTAGAGACTTGGTCTATTCAAAAGTACCTGCTACGAATGACAGCATGCAGTATCTACCTTAGATTAGTCACTTGTGAATATTTCTAT